GACAGGGTTTCTCTGTGTAGCTTTGCGCCTTTCCTGGGACTCACTTGGTAGTCCAGGCTGGCCTCGAACTCACAGAGATCCTCCTGGCTCTGCCTTCCGAGTGCTGGGATTAAAGGCGTGTGCCACCACCGCCCGGCTGAGACAAAGCAATATTTTAAACTATTTTTATTATTTTTAATCATATGCAGGTGTGTGTGTGCACACGTGTGCAAGTGGTCAGAGGTGTCAGATCTCCCGGGACCTGGAGGCACAGGTGGTTGTGAGCCACCCAATGCAGTTGCTGGGAACTAAGTCCTTTGCAAGAACAGCATGTGTTCTTAAACACTGAGCCACATCTCCAACTCTGTAACAAGATACTTTATAACCTTGGTTTCAAGTATTTCTTGAATTTGTGCTTACCCTTTTAAAAGGCTATTTTCAAAAATGGGTACAGTGTAAGTAAAATAAATTGTCATGCAAATAAATTGGAAAACCTTAATAAGTCAGTTGCCAACAAAATAAATAAATAAATAAATTCCCAGGCCAGTGTACCGCTCAGTGGAAGAATGTGCACTTAGATATAAGAGCCTGAGTCCGATCCTCAGAACAGGATAATACAAAAAAAAAAAAAAAAAAAAAGTAAATCTAGGAACATTACGGTGAAGCTTCTGAAAGGCCACGATAAACAGAAAATTTTCAAAGCAGCCAGAGAAAATGACCCATCACATACAGTAGAATGGTGAGAAGAATGAGACTTGGATTTTCATCCAAAGCAATGGAGGCAAGGAGACATTGGGATGATGCTTGAGAGTACTGAAAGGAAAAAATAAAAATTAAGAGGCCTGGTCAACTCCAAATTCTATACCCGGTGACAGCGGCCATCAAAAGATGAAGACCAGGTAAAGACAATTTTGAGATCAGCGAAAACTGAAAAAATGTCTTGCTAGGAAAGCTGCACGAGAGGGACCCTGAAGGGAGTTCACCTCGCCCAAGACAAGTGACCCCAGAGAGAAAGAGCCCTAGAGGAGTGCCGAAGTGCTGACAATACGGTCCATCTGAGACACCCTCATGCTTCATTTTCTCAAAAGACAACGGGCGGTTTCATGCACAGCCTGCTACACTGCACTGCACAGTTTATCACCTACCTACAAGCAAAAATCTGTCTCAAAAACCTAGTGTCACAACAGCACACAGGGCAGGGAAACCAGTAGATGAAACCCTATTAATGATCCAATATTAACCCTAAATGGATCACCATCACCACCCTAAAAGCAGAGAGAGCTAACTAACCATCAGGATGTGTGGGAAAGCCCTAGGGAAACCTACTATTTTGTAAGCTTCCTTTAAAATAGACACACACATACACACACACACACACACACACACACACACACACACACACACACGGTGGGGAGAGAATATGGGGTTCTCCAACATGGAGGGATGCTGTACCTCCCAGAAGCTGTAGGTTGCCAAATAAAAAGCCCAGGGCCCCGTGTAGATTACCCCTATCAAGCTATTGGGGGGGGCAGGTTCTGAAGACCCTCAAAACAATGCGACCTGTTGCCTTTGCACTAGGTTGCCTATCAGAACTTGACAGTAAGGCCCTACTGCCGAACACATCATACACTTTGATCACAGAGTTTGGAGAAATGAAGCGGGTCCTGTCCTGGAAGTGTCCTACTTGCTGGCTGGTTTTCATAGTACGAGAAGTTTTATCAGCTGTGAAGGCTGAGAGCTAGTGATGATTAGCCTGGCAAGATAAGCCTGTGGTACAATAGTGAGTGGTATGAATGTTATAGGGTAATCAACCATTTTTAATTAATTGGATTAATTAATTGGATTAATTTCTCCTTAGGAGAAAACTCATGCCTGATACAAAAATCTAGCCAAAAACCTATGACGAGGGAGCTTCATAGGCCCTAGGGATGAATTTACTATAATTTTACTAAACAGACATATGCCTTCTAAATATATCTCTATATCCATAGATGAGTGCAGCTCTCAGACCTCATCAGAGAAGCTTTTTGGTACAGACAACTGCTGTGGGATAGTGTTTTTGTACACTGGCTTAATAAAACGCCAGTAGCCAGGCAGGAAGTATAGGTGGGATAAGCAGATAAGGAGAATTCTGGGAAGAGGAAGGCTGAGTCAGGAGACGCCAGCCCACTGTCCAGGGAGCAGCATGTAATGGCACACAGGTAAAGCCACAGAACGTGTGGTGACATATAGATCAACAAAAATGGGCTGGGTTTAAGGGTAAGAGCTAGTCAGTAGTAAGCCTGAGCTAATGACCGAGCAGTTTTAATTAACAGAAGCCTCTGTGTGTTTACTTGGGTCTGAGCAGCTGCAGACCGGGTGGGACACAGGAAAACTCCACCGATAGACAACAGTAGTTAATGCAGAGACTCACAACTGTCCTAAGTGAAGAAAACGGGTGTCTTTGGAGTGCTCAGAAGTAGAGAAGACATTTGTATCACACTGCCCTCCCCTCGGTGCTCAGGAAACATTGTGGG